GTAAGTCTATTTTGATTTGGTTATTTTTAAAATAATCAGACACATCTAAAACCAAATCTCATTACTGGGATGGCAATGAAGTCACCAGGCTTAAAATTTTTATTTATTTTCTCACTCAAATTTTATAAATATGTAAACTCCGAAGTGCAGTTTCCTCTAAAGCTTTATATTATCGTATTTTCTTCATATCTCTTTCCTTATTTTCCATTATTTCTATCCGGCGACGTCTCCCAGGTGTTGTGATAACCCCTGAAGTAGGTGATGGACTTGCAATATTTTTTAATGGTTGTTTGGGTTATTTGGACTAACTATGGGGTTGGTCTTAGGGTACTCATCGGCATATGGGGGCCCACAGTAGGTGGTTACTGCATCCGAATGGGACTAGTGGTTGTGGGGGGAGGTAGCAGTCGTTCAGGTCAGTGAGGATGTCTAATGCTACGTTCGGAACTGCTCGTCAATCTCGTCCAGACAACTTGTCCAGGACCAGCAGGACGAGATGCGCCGCGTTCGGAACCTCCAAGACCCTTTCTGCCCAGAATGCAACCGGCTCGAATGTAAACATTCACTTTTTTATCATACCGGTGTCTTTATTTTACACGCTGCATAGGTTTTGTAACTCCTTTGATGCGCATTTAACTTACCTGCAACTGACAAACACAAAAATATCATTTGATAACACCAATTAAGGGTCATAAAATTACCCACCAATATCTTGTGGTTACCTGCAACTGTCAATGTTTACATACAAAATCTATTGTGACGTCATCTCGTCCTGCTCGCCCACCTTCGCAGGAGGGCGAGTTGGACGAGCTAGACTACTTGTCCGGGACGAGATAGTGGAGGTTCCGAGCGGTCAAAACATCTCGTCCAATTGGTCTGGACGAGATAGACCAGCAGTTCCGAACGCACCATAAAGTCTCTATCACACTATCATTTTTCCGTCTTTTTTTTTTTTTTTTTTTTTTTTTTTTTTTTTTTTTTTTTTCGTTGAATGAACTTCCCGTATGAAAATCGACTGACCCATGTAAACAAATATGGCGCTATCGGAGTGAGGTCCCAGGAATCACACGAACATTCTCATACATATTACGTTATTTTAAAGAAATAGGATTATGTAAAATTGTAGATACGAATGTTTTAAAATATTAGCTGATGTTTACATTCACTCATCCTATCTAATTTATTAATAACACAAGATCAAGATGGAAACGGAAGACTGTTGCGACCGTTTCCATCTGACTAATTTCCGTCTTGATCTTGTGCTATTCATAAATTAGATAGGATGAGTGAATGTAAACATAAGCTACTATTTTAGAAATATTCGTATATACATCATCATATTTCTTTAAAATAACGTAATATGTATGAGAATGTTCGTGTGATTCCCGGGACCTCACTCCGATAGCGCCAGGTTTGTTTACATGGGTCAGCTGATTTTCATACGGAAAGTTCATTCGGAAACGAAAAGAAAAGACGGAAAAAGTGATAGTGTGATAGGGCCTTTAAAGTGCTGTTTCTATGGATGGGGAAATCTACTATTTGGCGAAGGTTGATTCATTTAATTCATTTTGGTGTTTCTATGGATGGGGAAATCTACTATTTGGCGAAGGTTGATTCATTTAATTCATTTCGGAAAAGCTACTATTTGGCGGAGGTTTAATTCATTTTTGAACGTCACAATTATTGACTTCATTGAAATCCACACATTAAATCAGTTCAGAGCTGGGGCATCTAACTTTCAGAAGATCGAAGTGTGGGTGGGATGGTGGAGCAGTAGAGCTTCGTTGATGTCCTGGGTGGATGGTGCAGAACGAAACAGTAATGATGCTACATGGCGGGGGTGGAGGGAGGGCATCGCTGTGTGTGTCGATTTATATAAGCCCAGGGAAAGTTTTGAAAAGTGGAACCCCTCAGATGCTTTTTCTGCGCATCTGAAGACCGTGTTTTTGAACGGTGCGCAAAACTAATAGATTTTTTTCTTTATTGTCCTGCTAAGAGTACCCAGAGATCGAAAGGCCGACAGACGGCGAATTCCTCACCACCACCCTTACCTCCCTCCCCTCCTCTCATACTTCCCTCCCTCCCTCCTCCTCCTTACCACACCACCTCCTTCCTTCCCATCTCATCTCATCAACAACTCCTTCCCCTCCTCCTACATCCTCGCCAACACCTCCTTCCTCCCTCCTTCATCCTCATCAACACCTTCCTCCTCCCTCCTGCATCCTCACCACCCACCCTTACCTCCCCTCCTCCCCTCATACCACCTCCTCCTTTCCTCCTTCATCTCATCAACACCTCCTTCCTCCCTCCCTCCCTCCTCACCACCCACCACCTTCCCTCCCTCCTGCATCCTCGCCAACACCTCCTTCCCTCCCTCCCCTCCTCCTCCTCACACCACCTTCCTCCTTCTTCCTCATCAACAACTCCTTCCCCCTCCTCACCACCACCACCACTTCCTCCCTCCTCCTCATACCACCTCCTCCTTCCCTCCTTCATCTCATCAACAACTCCTTCCCTCCCTCCTCCTCACCACCATCTCCTTCCCTCCTCTCTCTCCTCCTCCTCAACCACCACCTCCTTCCTTCCCTCCTCCTCACTCCACCACCTCCATCCCTCCCCCTCCCTCCTCCTCACCACCATCTCCTTCCTCCCTCCCTCCTCCACCACCTCCTTCCTCCCTCTTCCTCACCACCACCTCATCCTCCCTCCTCCTCCCACCACTCCATCCCTCCCTCCTCCTCACCACACCACCTCTTCCCTCCCTCCTCCTCACCACCACCTCCATCCCCCCTCCCCTCACCACCACCTCCTTCCCTCCTCCTCCTCACCACCATCTCCTTCCCTCCCTCTCTCCCTCCTCCTCACCACCACTTCCTTCCTTCCTTCATCCTCATCAACACCTCCTTCCCTCCTTCCTCCTCACCACCATCTCCTTCCCTCCCTCTCTCCCTCTCCTCACCACCACCACCAACCTTCCCTCCCTCTCCTCACCCTCTTCCTTCCCTCCCTCCTCCTCACCACACCCTTTCTCCTCCTCCTCCACCCCTCCTCCCCCTCAGCAACACCTCCTTCCCTCCCCTCCTCAGCAACACATTCCCTCCCCTCCTCAGCAACACCTCTTCCCTCCTCCTCCCAACACCTCTTCCTCCTCCTCAGCAACACCTCCTTCCCTCCCTCCTCAGAACACCTCCCTTCCCTCCTCCTCACACAAACACCTCCTTCCTCCCTCCTCAGCAAACACTCCTTCCCTCCCTCCTCAGCAACACCTCCTTCCCTCCCTCCTCAGCAACACCTCCTTCCCTCCCTCCTCCCTCCTTCCTCCCCCTCAGCAACACTCTTCCCTCTCCTCTCAGCACACCTCCTCCTCCCTCCTCAGCAACACCCTTCCTCCCTCCTTCCCCCCTCCCAGCAACACCTTCCTTCCTCCCTCCCTCCTCAGCAACACCTCTTCCTCCTCCTCAGCAACACCTCCTCTCCCCTCAGCAACACCTCCTTCCTCCCTCCTCAGCAATAACCTCCTCCCTCTCCTCAACAACACCTCCTTCCCTCCCTCCTCAGCAACACCTTCCCTCCCTCCTCAGCAACACCTTCCTCCCTCCTCAGCAACACCTCCTTCCCTCCTCACAACACATCCTTCCCTCCTCCTCAGCAACACATCCTCCTTCCCTCACAGCACCTCCTTCTCCCTCCTCAGCACCTTCTTCCCTCCCTCCTCAGCAACACCTCCTTCCCTCCCTCCTCAACCACCTCTTCCTCGCCCTCAGCAACACCTCCTTCCTCCCTCCCACCTCCTTCCCTCCTCTCATCAGCAACACTCCTCACCAACCCCTCCTCCCCCTCAGCAACACCGCTTCCTACGCAATACCTCCTCTCCCCCTCCTATCCTCCCCTCCTTCCTCTCCCCACTCTCTCTTCCCTCCCAGCACCTTCCCTCCCTTCCTCCAAACACCTCCCCTTCCCTCCCTCCTCAACACACTCCTTCCCGCTCCCTCATCAACTCCTTCCTCCCTCCTCAGCAACCTCAGCATTCCTTCTCCCCTCAGCAACACCTCCTTCCCTCCTCACAGCTTCCCCTTCCCTCCAGCACCACTCCTCCTTCCCTCCCTCATCAGCAACGACCTCCTTCCCTCTCTCCTCCTGTCCTTCCCTCCCTCCTCACCAACACCTCCTTCCCTCCTCCTCAGCAAACACCTCCTCCCTCCCTCCTCAGCAACAACCTTTCCCTTCCCTCCTTCAGCAACACCTTCCCTATCTGTCCTCACTTCCTCACAACACCTCCTTTCCTCCCCTCAACAACATCTCCTTCCCTCCTTCCTCACCAGCACCTCCTTCCCACCCTCCTCAGCAACACCTCCTTCCCTCCCTCCTCAACAACAACACCTCCCTCCCTTCCTCCCTCCTCCTCACCACCACATGCTTAATTTCCCTTATTCGATTTAACCTCAATTGCACGTACGTTACGAAGCGATGAAAAGGAGGGAAGATTCCATATAGAATTATTTTTTCTCCAAATTTTTGTAAATCAGCAAATTGCCGATAATTATACAGCGCCAAAGAGGTTGGGATTCCCATTTAAACATCATTTTGTACCGTAGGAAATAGACCGGACAGAATGGCGGTTGGCGCCTAGGTTGTGACGTCACACGGACCCAAAATTCTTGAAAAATTTGCTGCCTAAAGTTATTTTTATTAATGCTACCTGCAGTTACTCACATTAAGGCTGCCTGCAATTATTTTTCATGTATTTATGTGTGTCTAAAAAGATATCTTGATTTAATTAGGCTTAGTACTGTTTAGGGTGTGGCTGACTGGTATCATTCATTACTAAAATTATTATTTTTTCAAATGGGAATGTAATCTCGTATTACGAAAATACAATACCTTTAAAAATCTATTAATTTTTACGCGAAAAATCCCGAACCCACGCGTACCTACAGCATCTGCAGAAGAAAGAAAATCCACTACGAATGTTGCAGCAGGACGCGGCGGGAAGGCGGGAAAACCGGAGCCCAGAGCACCACGAGACGCCGCGGTATCAACATGGACGGCGACGGCAATGGCGCTTCTGGCAAGGACAGGGACGAAAGGGATGAAAGTGGCGAAAAACAAGATAATCTCAGGGTTACGAAGACGGGGCGTGTGAGTTTTTTTATAATGAGTTTAAATGTGTTAGTAGATCAGAGGCAGTAGATATTTAGGTGAGTCTACCACGCGGTGTCGCGAAAAATGGTAGAAGGGGCGGTATATATATATATATTTTTTCCCGACAAAAGGGCGTGATTATTGGATTTAAGTCGTTCGAAATTTGGTTAAAAAAAATAACGGCGACGTTTCCGGCACCGCTTTGATTCACTCAAGAGGCTAATTTTTACGGCACTTTCCTGTTCCTCACTTCGTCTTTTCTCTCTCTCTTTCTTTTTGGTAATTCTAAGTAAGAGCCGCGCCTATTTGTTATGTTCATTTTGTTTTTTATATGATTTTGTTTATATATATTTGTTATTTTCATTTATTTTCGCCTATTTATGTTCATTTTTTAAATATAATTTTGTTTATATATATATTTGTTATTTTCATTTTTTCGCCTATTTGTTATGTTCTTTCTTTTTTTAAATAAAACTATTTGTTGTTTATAATTATATATATATTTTTTTATCCTACCCCCTTGGAGAATCGTGGGTTGAAGGGGGGGGGGAGGCACCCACACGGGAGAAATAGTAGAATCACAAACGAAAAAAAAAAAGCAAAATTCGAACGAGAGTCCAAGATGCGCCGGTGTCAGTGTTGCCGAAATCCCGACGATTTTTTTTTTTTTTTAACCCAACCTAACCTGGACCGCTTTCCCTGGGGTATTTACAAGCCCTTAGACTCCTTAATTAGGGAGTCTAACCTAACCTAACCTGGTAATTTTCTATATTTCCTCCGCCTCTCCGATATCGACGATTTTGGTATCGTTGGATTCCTCTCACTGTCCACATTGCAAATATATAGTATTGTTTACATTCGAGACGGTTCGAGACAACGAGGTTTGTGGACTTAGGCAACATTTGAACTTCAATTAAAGCACAACCCGTGAGGTCCCCGCAATTTTATTAACTTCCTTGATATGCACGAAAACTAGTCAATAATTCTGTTATACTTTCTTTGATATATGTAGTGTGGCTGCCTTAATTAGTATGGTTTTTTTTTCTTTCTTTTTTTTCTTTCTTTCTTTCTTCTGCCGTACGGATCGCGATGTCGGACTCCTCTCGCCGTCTACGATGGAGATAGGTATTATTTAACGCGTGACCCCCCCCCCTCCCTCTCTCCCCAACTCCCTCATATAGCGTCAATCTTGGCCCCGCTAACAAGGGTGAAAGTGTAGGGTGAAAATTTGAATAATATACAGAATCAGTCACTCTATTGCCCAATGCATCCTACGACCCCCCCCCCCCCGACTCCCTCAATTTTGGCCCCGATAGCAAGGGAGGGTATGAACGGTGCCAGGGAAAATATAAGGTAAAATATGAATATACACAGAATCAGTCACTCTATTGTCCCGTGCAGGGGACTATGCCTCCTACTCCCCCCCCCACTCCCTCATTAGCGACAATTATAGTCCCGATAGCAAGGGACCAGGGAGAATATAGGGTAAAAATATGAATAATATACACAGAATCAGTCCCTATTGTCCAGTGTAGGGAAATAAACATTCTTGCCCCCGATGGTAGGGAAGGGTATGAATGGTACCGGGAAAGTGTGGGGTAAAATATGAATACAGAATCAGTCATAATATTGTCCAGTGCCGTGGGGACGACTCCCGCCCCCCAACCAGTCTCCCCCAACTCCTTCATTAGCGACAATTTTGGCCTCGATAGTAAGAGATGGCATGGGCGCTACCAGGGAGAATATAAGTTGAAAATATGATAAATAACATAGAATCAGTCACTTCATTGTCCAATGCAGGGGAAAAAAAAACAAACCCCCACATCCTTGCCCCCGATAGCAGGGGAGGCTATGAAAGGTACCGGAAAAATTGCTTGGTAAAATATAGATAATCGAAACAGTCACTCTGTTGTCCAATGCAGGGGGACTGTGCCTCCTACGACACCCACCCCCCAACCCCCGCCCAGGAAAACAGAATCCTTCACGTATTCCCGTCAGGAGAGACCCTACGACCGCCATGCAGGAGCGTGTGAGAGTCCTACGCTCTTTCCTGTCGGGAATACGTGGAGGATTTTTTGCTTTCCTGAAGGCGGGTTGGAGGGGGGGGGGGTCGTAGGAGGCACAGTCCCCCTGCATTGGACAACAGAGAGATTGTGTTTAGATTATTCATATTTTACCCTGAAATCTCCCAGGTACCTTACATACCCTCCCCTGCTATCGGGGGCAAGGATGTGGGGGTTTGGGTTTTTTCCCCCTGCATTAGACAATGGAGTGACTGATTCTGTGTATATTATTCATATTTTCAACTTATATTCTCCCTGGTAGCGTCCATGCCCTCTCTTACTATCGGGGCCAAAATTGTCGCTAATTGTGGGGGTTGGGGAGGTGGGGGGTCGTAGGAGGCACAGTCCCCCGGCACTGGACAATATTATGACTGATTCTGTATATTATTCATATTTTACCCTACACTTTCCCCGGTACCTTTCACACCCTTCCCTACTATCGGGGGCAAGAATGTTTTTTTCCCCTGCACTGGACAATAGACTGACTGATTATGTTTATATTATTCATATATATACCCTATATTCTCCCTGGCACCGTTCATGCCCTCCCTTGCTATCGAGGGCAGGAAGGGGGGGTTGGGGGGGGGTCCACGCATTAATTTCTATGTTTGGAAACAGAGAGAGAGAGAGAGAGAAAGCCAACGATGCCAAGATCATCTCGAAGCGTTATGCAGAACTATTAGCATGCGCCGGAAATATGGCCACTGTGATCAGGGGAATTACCTGTACTTTTTTCTACTTTGTAACTTGCTTTACACTTAATTGGAGATTTTTCGAATTTCAAGGAATCTGCCGACCAATACCGGTTTTAGCTTCATTTGCCGACAAGTTTTGTTCAGGTATTCAGGGGAGGTGTCGCCCTTGGTGACGGCCGTGCCCGCGGCTCATTTGCTATTACAGTCTTGCAGTCGGCCGTTTTGCAAAGTTGATTAAAGATTACCATTGACATTTAAACGTTCATTTCGGGTAATGAGTACGAACCGAACCGAGACGAATTGAGTGTTATCTTGTGTCGAGGCGCCGCGCTGCCATCTTGTTCGGTTGCCGTACGCGTAACGCCGGCCTTTTTTCTATTGTCTTTTTGTAAAGACCGTTTCGTCGCGTCAACTCGTGATTACTTGTTGCGCTTGCTGTACACTACCGGATGGTGCTGATGGTGCTGATAAGGAGGGTGGTGGTGAAGAGGAGGGAGGGAAGGAGGTGGTGGTGAGGAGGTGGGAGGGATGGAGGTGGTGGTGAGGATTCAATTCAAATTCAAATTCAAGTACTTTTATCCATTAATTACATTGGGTATTCTCTTTACATATAAGGTGTTTACACAATGCAATAGGGTGAAATTAACATAGATATTATACAATGCTTGTGGAACAAAATTACACATAACAATATTACCATATGTGATTGAAATATCGTGCTGGGCTTGGTGTTATACGCCTGATGTCATTGATATTTCAGTAGATGTTCTTTCACTTTTGTTTTAAATGTCTTTTGGTTGGAAATATTTCTTATATTTCGGGTCATTGGATTAACATATTTCTTGCCCCGGTTTCTGTATTTGATCTCTTGATTTATAAGCAGGAGGAGGAGGGATGGAGGTGGTGGTGAGGAGGAGGGAGGATGGAGGTGGTGGTGAGGAGGAGGGAGGATGGAGGTGGTGGTGAGGGAGGGAGGGATGGAGGTGGTGGTGAGGAGGAGGGAGGGATGGAGGTGGTGGTGAGGAGAGGGAGGGATGGAGGTGTGGTGAGGAGGAGGGAGGGATGGAGGTGGTGGTGAGGAGGAGGGAGGGGAGGTGGTGGTGAGGAGGAGGGAGGGATGGAGATGGATGAGGAGGAGGAGGAGGAGGGAGGGTGGTGAGGAGGGGAGGTGGAAAAGGAGGAGGGAGGGGAGGGAGGGAGGGAAGGAGGTGGTGTGAGGAGGAGGAGGGATGGAGAGGAGTGGTGAGGAGGAGGGAGGGATGGAGGTGGTGGTGAGGAGGAGGGAGGGAAGGAGGTGGTGGTGAGGAGGAGGGAGGGAAGGAGTGGTGGTGAGGAGGAGGAGGGAATGGGTGGTGGTGAGGGGAGGGATGGTGTGGTGGTGAGGAGGAGGGAAGGGATGAGTGGTGGTGAGGAGGAGGGAGGGATGGAGGTGGTGGTGAGGAGGAGGGAGGGAAGGAGGTGGTGGTGAGGAGGAGGGAGGGAAGGAGGTGGTGGTGAGGAGGAGGGAGGGATGGAGGTGGTGGTGAGGAGGAGGGAGGATGGTGACGTGTGAGGAGAGGGAGGGAAGGAGGTGGTGAGGAGGAGGAGGGAAGGAGTGGTGGTGAGGAGGAGGGAGGGAAGGAGTGGTGGTGAAGAGGAGGGAGGGATGGAGGTGGTGGTGAGGAGGAGGGAGGGAAGGAGGTTGGTGAGGAGGAGGGAGGGAAGGAGGTGGTGTGAGGAGGAGGAAGGTGGTGGAGGAGGGAGGATGGAGTGGTGAGGAGGAGGGAGGGGAGGTGATGGAGGTGGTGAGGAGGGAGGGAAGGAGGTGGTGGTGAGGAGGAGGGAGGGATGGAGATGGTGGTGGTGGTGGAGGAGGGGAGGGATGGAGGTGGTGGTGAGGAGAGAGGGATGGAGGTGGTGGTGAGGATGAAGGTGTAGAGGAAATGAGGTGAAATGTGGTCCCCTGGGGTTGAATAAGTCTGCCAGCCCTGCTTTGTGTCCCTCAAGGCTAAAACTTCTTTCTCTCTTCAGGTTCGCAAGCGTCGTCGTCGCCGCGGCAGGAAGGCATCGCAGCCTGTGGAAGTGAGTATTATAAATATTTGTCTCGGGGCGGTTCTTGAAAGCGCGTGTAAAGCGAATGGTACTTGCGAATGTATAAAGTCAACTGTCATTTGTCTGTAGGATCATGTTAGCCAGGACTGAGAAAAATATGAAGTTGTGGATTAAAATAAAGTTTATGAACGATTTCTTACGAGACTTGGGGTTGAGTCATCTATCATTCGGGTTAGTACTTTTTTAATTGTTGTTATTTTTCCTTGCAGGAAGCAGTTCCTCCTATAAAAGGATGGGTAAGTCAAGAAAATACTAACCAGCTGGTCGAATGCTAGATTCTCTAAAACCCCTCTCTTTTTCTAACTCTACCCCCTCTCATTCTCACTCTATCTGTCTGTCTCCTCTCTCTGTCTGTCTGTCTCTCTCTCCTGCCTGTCTGTCTGTCTGTCTGTCTCCTCTCTCCTGTCTGTCTGTCCTGTCGTCTGTCTCCTCTCTCACTGTCTGTCTGTCTGTCTGTCTCCTCTCTCACTGTCTTCTGTCATCTGTCTCCTCTCTCACTGTCCTGTCTGTCAATCTGTCTCTCCACTGTCTGTCTGTCTCTCCTCTGTCTGTCTCGTCTGTCTCCTCTCTCACTCTGTCTGTCTTCTGCCTCCTCTCCTCACTGTCTGTCTGTCTGTCCTGTCCTCTCTCTGTCTGCCTCCTCTCTCACTGTCTGTCTGTCTCCTCTCTCACTGCCTGTCTGTCTGTCTGTCTGTCTGCCTGTCTGTCTCCTCTCTCACTGTCTGTCTGTATTCTCTCTCCTCACTG